ATAGAAAACTGGGGAGAAAAGCTAAACCCACATGAGAAAGCATGTTTAGATGTGAAAGAAAGCTAGTTTTCTTTTCTCTTTAAAGGCAATCGAGTATAAAAGCAGTTGGTAACTCCTAGAGTAATTATTTTAGTCCTTGCATTTAGAGATGAGCCACAGCTGTGCCCTTCTCCAGCCGGAGATAATTACAACACAGCCTCACTACTCCTCCCTTCAGAAAATGATTGCAATAAAATAACAAACCTGGAGAAGCTTAGGGTCTTTAGAAATTTTCCATAACCTGTGCCTTCAGGACACAAAAACCTACATGGTCAGACAATTAGAAACAGGACTTACTTTGAAAGATTTTTCAAAGATTCACCCCTCTGTCCAGTTTTAAATGTAAAACCACATTCATAGGCAGGAAATCCTTTCCTGTATCTAACTGTGGTGTCTCATTTGTTTAATCAATTCCCTTTGTCTCTTTTCTAAATGAGGGAATTATCCTCCCATCCTTAAGTATAATTAAAGATACTCAGAAACCCTATTACTTCAGATCCCACTAATTCACAAATTGTGATAATTCCGGTGAGGTCCGGACTTTAAAAATAATTAGATAAGCAAATAAATCTGGCAAACAAGATTGGAGGTCACCTTAGAGGCCTTCACTCTACACCTGCCTCCCAGTGAAGGGTCGCGGGCACCCTTTATTGGGGAAATGAAGTCTGGAGAGAGTCACCATTTCAACAGCTCTTTTGCCATTGAAGAGAAGGGCTGTTCAGAGACCCCCGGAGGCCCCACTTAGGGAAATCTCTTTAGGGTCTTATCCCTCCACTGCCTGTAGGAGTCTGGGTCCTCGCCCTGGCAGGGCCTTCCTCTGTACCCTTGCTTCTGCATGGAAGGCCAAAATATCCCTTGAAGTCACTTTGTAACCAGGAGCTCCTTCCCTCCATTCATGAAAGCAAATATCCCAGGGCCTTTGCTGTGGGGGAGCTGGGCTGGGGACCTGAGGCGCTGCTGAGGGCAGTCGGTGTGCATTAGTGTTCTAAACTGCAGGCCTCTGTGACCTGGGAGGACTTCCGTCTTTTGTTACTGGACTTCCCTCTTTTGTCACTGTTCATCTATGTTTCGTCAGGTTCTTTCATTCACTGAATCATTCTTCATTGACTGCCCACTCTGGGACCGGACCCCAAGGATATATTACATAGACGAACTATATACAGTCCTTTTAATTTCATTTAAATTAATTTTTAACAATTGAATAGCGCTCACCACTTGCGGGCACCCTGGCAAGAATTATTGACCATAATGACTCATTCAATTTATGCTCCTCAGTGAACTCACAGTCTGGCAGAGAAGACAGCTTACAACACAGAAGACTCATGAGTCTTAGAGGATAATGAGATTTCAGGTGAATAACTGAGGCCATTTGCAAAGCAAACTGAAAAGCTGGAGACCTGATGTGTATTGTGAAAGTATCTCGGACCCCCAGAGTCACTAAGCTAAAAAGAAAATTCAAGCTGGGAACTGCTCAGGGCTAACCTGGCTCCCATTCCACTCATAGTCATCCCTCTTCTCACTGAGATAGATGCATATCTGATTGCCTCTTTGGAAAGGCTTATCAGAAACTCAAAAGAATGCAACCATTTGTCTCTCACCTACCTGTGACCTGGAAGTCCCCTCCCTGCCTCGAGTTTTCCCCACCCTTCTGGATGAACCAATGTTCTTCTTACTTATATTGATTGAGGTCTCAGGTCTCCCTAAAATGAGTCATACCAAGCTATGCCCCGACCACCCTGGCGCATGTCTTCAGGACTTTTGGGGCTGTGTCATGGGTGCGCGTCCTCAACCTTTGCAAAATAAACTTTCTAATTTAAATGAGACCTGTCTCAAATTTTCAGGGTTCACTGTACCCATGAAGGAAACAGAGATGGTTTTCTAGGACTCCAAAGCCTCATTGGGTTTGGTTAACTGGATGGAAGACAGAGAAGGCCCGAAGCAGCAAGGGTGCAGCCCACCAACTCTGAAACAGATCCAGGTGAGGAGAGAGGGCAAGCTGAGAGGTTAGACAATATCCAATGATAATAAGATGGAGACTGGAGGCCGGGCACAGTGACTCACGCCTATAATCCCAACACTTTAAAAGGCCAAGGAGGGCGAATCACCTGAGGTCAAGAGTTCAAGACCAGCCTGACCAACATGGTGAAACTGCATCTCTACCAAAAATACAAAACTTATCCAGGTATGGCGATGTGTGCCTATAATCCCAGCTATTCGGGAGGCTGAGGCAGGAGAATTGCTTGAACCTGAGAGGAAGATGTTGCAATGAGCCAAGATGGTGGCATTGCACTCCAGCCTGAGCAATGAGAGCAAAACTCTGTCTTGAAAGGAAAGAAATGGAGGCTGGAGACAGAGTGCTGAAGTTCAGAGAGCCCAGGAGAGAGAGGTCAGAAGTTGGATGGGGTAGGAACTGGGGGAGGACCTGACTGTGGGGGCCTGTTTGGGTTTCTGTGGAGGCTTAGACTCTGGGTAGAAATCATTGCAGGGTTTGGGCAGGGCTGTGTGATTGCTTTTGATACACAATTTTTATCATCCTACCTGCTATTTTGAGAGTATACTGAGGGGGGCAAGGCAGAATCAAAGACACAGCCAGGAGGCAGTTGCTGCACTCCAGGTGGGAGATGACAGGGCCTGGCCCAGCGCAGGAGCGGTGAGAGGGTGGGGGTCGTGGCCCGGTGCTATGCAGTTCCAAGCAGTGTCAGCGGGGCTGACTGGCAGACTTGATGTGGGATATGGGTGGTTTGACCTGAGAAACTGGAAGGTCTGGCTTCCACCCACGTAGGTGGGCGCTGTGGGAGATGCAGGCTTGTCGGGCACCGATTTGCAGAGTCGCCTGTGGTTGCAGCTGCCTGGTGTCACCTGCTGTGTGATTCACTCCCTCTGCCCCTTCCCTGTAGGCCGGACCTGTGAGTTCTTCTCACCACAGAATGCTGTTGTGTCCTCACAGTGTCGTCCGTGTATCTGTGCCCTAATCTCTTCTTTCAAAGACACCAGCCTGGGTGGATTATAGTCCACCCTAGTGACCTCACCTCTTTAAACACCGTATTTCCAAACAGTCCCATTCTCAGGCACTGCGGGCCAGGACGTCTGCACCTGGATTTTGGGGGACATGATGCAGCCCAGCTGAGGTCCCAGCCAATGGCAGCATCCTGCAGCTGTGAGTGAGGTGGGCAGGTTCCTGCAGAAGACTCCAGCCCTGGCCCTGGGGCCACCAGACCCTGAGGGCCCAAGAGGAGCAGTCGCACTGTGTCTGCAGGAGTTCCTGGCCACAGAACCCGTGAGCACAGCATGATGCCTGATTATGACGTGTAGTTCCAGGCCCCTGGATGGCTGATTACCCACCATGGTCACTGGATCACACTCGCTGCGGAGTTCTCATATTATCTCAGCTAACCTAAGGTCCCGTCTCACAGATGAGGATACTGAGACATACAGGATTAAATACACTGCCCAAAGCACACATTGCTAAGTGGTGACCCCGACTTGACCGCAGTCTGACTGATTCCTGAGCCATTCCTCCATTAGAGGAGCCCAGTCTGACTGACTCCTGAGCCATTCCTCCACTAGAGGAGGTCTGGGAAAGGCACAGAGACACGTTGCGGAAACTTACGGCTCAAAAGGAGCAGGCCCTGCTCATCCAGCTCTGCACCCCGGGCCTGGCTCTGACCCACACGGGTAGGCAGCTCGGCAGAGGGGAAAGCCAGCTCTGTCACTTTTAACTGCACTTGCCCTCTGGCTGCTGCTTCTTTTTCTTTCTTTCTTTCTTTCTTTCTTTCTTTCTTTCTTTCTTTCTTTCTTTCTTTCTTCTTTCTTTCTTTCTTTCTTTTTTTTTAGAGAAATTGATTAAGCATTTTTCCTTTTTTCTCTCTTTCTGAAATATATTTCAAGGATACAGTATTTTTATTCTAATGCTCTCTCCTTAGAGAAAAAAAGTGTTATTTTTCACCTATTGATGCAGCAAAGGGGAAGCAGAAGCAGGAGTGCCAAACCTGCCATGTCTTCCTCTCTGCTCCCTCCCAGCTGCAACCTCAGCAGTGTGGCAGTGACTGTGTATAGTATTCCCGCATTGCCACAATTCGGCCCCTTGTCGAGGGCCAAGCTCCCTGCTCTGCCGATGTGCTTTGCTTGGCCCCCTGGAGCTTCAGGCATGGAAACCATGTTCTGCAGGACCAGAGAAATCCCATCCTGGAGCTTCAGACATGGAAGTCACATTCTGTAGGACCAGAGAAACCTCCCCCCACCCCGGAGCTTCAGGCATGGAAGTCACATTCTGTAGGACCAGAGAAACCTCCCCCCACCCCCAGAGCTTCAGGCATGGAAGTCACATTCTGTAGGACCAGAGAAACCTCCCCCCACCCCGGAGCTTCAGGCATGGAAGTCACATTCTGTAGGACCAGAGAAACCTCCCCCCACCCCGGAGCTTCAGGCATGGAAGTCACATTCTGTAGGACCAGAGAAACCTCCCCCCACCCCGGAGCTTCAGGCATGGAAGTCACATTCTGTAGGACCAGAGAAACCTCCCCCCACCCCGGAGCTTCAGGCATGGAAGTCACATTCTGTAGGACCAGAGAAACCTCCCCCCACCCCGGAGCTTCAGGCATGGAAGTCACATTCTGTAGGACCAGAGAAACCTCCCCCCACCCCGGAGCTTCAGGCATGGAAGTCACATTCTGTAGGACCAGAGAAACCTCCCCCCACCCCGGAGCTTCAGGCATGGAAGTCACATTCTGTAGGACCAGAGAAACCTCCCCCCACCCCGGAGCTTCAGGCATGGAAGTCACATTCTGTAGGACCAGAGAAACCTCCCCCCACCCCCAGAGCTTCAGGCATGGAAGTCACATTCTGCAGGACCAGAGAAACCCCACTTCCATCCCACATCTCTGGTTATCAGAGCATCAATTCCAAGTCTGACCTACATCACAGGGCAAGTCGGTCATGAGCACACACTGGCCCATGACAAATGGATTGTCGTGCTTTATTGATGTCAAGGGGGATATAGCGCCACGATTAATAATTTACCCAACAGAGAAAAGCTTTCCTTGTTTCTGTGATGCCAGAGAGCCCGAGGTTTGATTGTTCCAACTCTGAGCACTGATGAGAGAGAGATGCTCACACCTACAGCTCGGATGAAAACCCACAGTAGAAGATTCCCGGTAGCCTCCTCTCTGTGTGCCCAAAGTCATCGAGGGAGGGAACGAAGTTTGTTCTCTTCTAACAAACCATATGAAGCAGACACTTGGTTTTTCTGTTCTCAGAATCGTTTTGCTCCATCCAAACTGCAGGTTAGCTGTTGCATAGGTACCACGGGCACTTGGGGAATGCCGGCTTCGTCTCATTATATTGAGTGGAGGTAAGCGGAGGTAAGAAGATTCAGACACTAACTGGCATTTTCCCCTAAATCTCCATGGAAATGCAGTATCTACTCCAGGGCGCCTCGTGCTGTGAGGCCTTCACACTCCTGTTCGAGGGAAAGGAGGATGAAGGAATGAATGCTGGGGCGAATGGGGTCATGGGTGTCCCTTAACTGCATACTGTGGACATTTTAAACAGCAGGGAAGTTAATCCTGAGCAACTTTTAAAATTCATGGTTTTTATTTGAGTCTTTAAAAAAAGATGTTTTTGGCCGGGCGCGGCGGCTCAAGCCTGTAATTCCAGCACTTTGGGAGGCCGAGGTGGGTGGATCACGAGGTCAGGAGATCAAGACCATCTTGGTCAACATGGTGAAACCCCGTCTCTACTAAAAATACAAAAAATTAGCTGGGCATGGTGGCGCGTGCCTGTAATCCCAGCTACTCAGGAGGCTGAGGCAGGAGAATTGCCTGAACCCAGGAGGCGGAGGTTGCAGTGAGCCGAAATCACGCCATTGCACTCCAGCCTGGGTAACAAGAGCGAAATTCTGTCTCAAAAAATAAAAAATAAAAAATTAAATTAAAAAAAACCATGTTTTCACTTTTGTTTCCTTATCTAATTTTCCTACTGTTTCACTTTCTCTGCCACCTCTCTTACTGCGGTTTCAACTAAATGACTAAGCAAATTAGAGCTTGAGTTGCTTTCCTGGAATGTGAAGAGCTGGAGAATCAGATAAAAGTCAAGGTCCCTCTATCTTCAGCTGCTTCCAGATCGGGGGCTGGAGCTGAGCGGGAATGTCGTGCAATCCCGTTTCGTTCTCGAGCAGGCTGAGTCCCACGAGCATGCCCCCTTGCATCTGCCCTGGGAGAAACTCTAGCAGGGTAGAGAAAATTAGAGAAGAAAGGATATTATTACACGGTGCAATTGTATTTTCATCCTCGAGGCTTGCCGAACGCAGGCTTCTGGGTAAGTCACACAATCCAGGAGAAATAACTGCTTAGCGTTGAGATGACATGTGACTGAGGCCGAGCTCTCTGCGGCCGTCCCCTCTCCCCCGCCGCCTGTGTGTGTTGTGTGGTCTGGACAGACAACGGCAGGGCAGACCTTCTGAAGCGAGGCCGGGGACTGAGACAGCTCTACCTCTGCAGGTCTCCTGCCTAGAGGCTCCACTCCAGCCAGCAGGGAAGCCAGGATTGATCGTAAGTAATTTGATTCTTGGGCCATAGGTCGTTGTCAAACTGCAGCCTCGAAAAATAGTCTATTGATTTTCTGAGTCAAATAAAATTATGTCAATGTAGAATTAAATAGATAGTCACAAAGCTGTAACATGCCCAGAGATGAGAATACTACACATCAGGTGTGCCTGGCTCTTTTTTTCCATCTGTTTCTTCTTGTTCTTACTGCTATCAAACATACCTAGCATTGCTAAATAAGGCTTGGGAAACAGGCGTGTTTTGTAAATAGCCCATCTTTGTACCAATACGTATCGTGTTTTCATACTCTGAAGTCGCTGGCTTCTTTCTTGTTTTTTTGTTTTTTGTTGTTGGTTTGTTTGTTTGTTTTTTTGAGGCACAGTTTCACTCTTGCTACCCAGGCTGGAGTGCAATGGCGTGATCTCGGCTCACCGCAACCTCCACCTCCTGGGTTCAGGCAATTCTCCTGCCTCAGCCTCCTGAGTAGCGGGATTACAGGCACTCGCCACCGTGCCCAGCTAATTTTTTGTATTTTTAGTAGAGACGGGGGTTTCACCATGTTGACCAGGATGGTCTCGATCTCTTGACCTCGTGATCCACCCGCCTCGGCCTCCCAAAGTGCTGGGATTATAGGCTTGAGCCACCGCGCCCGGCCCGTCGCTGGCTTCTTTCTTAGCTATTCACAGAAACTCTGCAAGGCACTCCTCACCCTGGATTCAAATTCTGACATCACATCCAAATTATGTGGCCTTGGGCAAGTCAGCTATAAACTCTTTGCCCCATTTCTTCATCTCTAAATTGTAACAATAATCCAAGCTCCCTCAAATAAATCCAAGTGAGAATCAAACCAGCCTGCCCAACATGGTGAAACCCCTTCTCTACTAAAAATATCACATTAGCTGGGTGTGGTGGTGCACACCTGTAATCCCGGCTACTCGGGAGGCTGAGGCAGGAGAATCGGTTGAACCTGAGAGGCATAGGTTGCAGTCAGTCAACATCATGCCACTGCACTTGAGTCTGAGCAACCAGAATGAAACTCCTCTATCAGAAAAAAAAAATCAGGTTAGGTATATGGGTGCTAAGAACTGCATGCACGTGAAACTGCTTGCTGCTGCCCCCATTATTTACTAGAGGAAGACACTGACAAGGCATCCCAGCCCATCCCTGGTCTTCCATTTTCATTCCGTCACAGAGAGGCTTGGGGTGGGATTCAGTCTCAGGAATGAAGGCTTGCCTTCTTGCCATCACAATCATCTCTTGCCGTCACGGTCACACCATCAATCACCATAATCATCCCTTTGCCACCTTCTGCAAAAGGGGCCCAGAGTCCTAGGTCTTGGAGCCTTTGCAGCTGCCTCCCTGGGAGGGGTCACTCCGCAAGCTGTGACCTCCTCACCCCACCCCACTGTAACCTTCAACCCCAAACCCCTGTCTTCACACGACAGTCAGAGTGAAGAGGGAAAGCATGATTCGGATGTGTCTGCTATTCCATGCTCCCCAAGGACTCCTCGTGTCTCTGGGGGCAGAAGCCGAAGTCCTCCCACTGGCCTTCAGAAGCCCCACCAACCCACCACTTCGCCCCTCTGACACCTCTCCTACTGTTCTGGGTCCAGCCACCACCTTGTGTGTCTTCAAGTCCTGCAGCCCTCACAGGGGCTCCTCCTGCCTGGAGCACTCCCGCTGTGTCTCTGCACAGCTCACTCCTCCACCTCCTCACCTCCATGTCCCACTCTCCATCCTCCTTCAGCTGTTCCTTTCCTGCGCAGCACCATCCACCTGCTCCTCCTGACTTCCGTATTTTGTCAGTTTCTCCCAACAAGAGCGCAGACTCCACCAGGGAGAGACATGCATTTGCTTCAATCCTGCTGGATCCTCATGCCTTGGGACAACACATAGTGGGCGTACTATCAGTGTTGAACAAGTAAATAAAGAAAGGAAGAAGGAAGGAACAAATAGGTGGACAAATGAAACGTTCTGCCAGCAGAAGAAGGTTAGAAAAGACAACATGACATGGCACGGGGCGGGGAGAAAAGGAGATCTGAATTGTGGATTCCCCTCCCTCTCAGGAAGGTGGTTTTATGAGGAACACATGGAGTCAGAATAATCATTGCAGCAGGATTTGCCAGAGGTCAGGGACCTGCCTGCCGGTCTCAGGAAGATGAAACATATAAAATTCACTCACAATCTCCGGGAAGCACAAGGCCAAGGGCATCCATCAGGGAGTCCAGGGACTCACAGACAAAGGCCGTCACAGGGTCAATGAAGCCAAGAAGCAGCAGCTTAAGTAAAAACTAAAGAATATTTAGGGGGATGCAAAGGAGACGGAACAGGAACATGGAAATCTATTAGGGTTGTGAAGGGTATTCTCCCTCTACAGCTGGTGTCCCCTTCTCCCTGCTGTCCCAATGCCTCCACCAAATCAGTCACTGCCATTTGTAGACTTGACCATCGCACAGCTCACCGTGCGGCACAGCAGGGCCTGCCCACGCCCTCACGCAGGACACCAGGTCGCCCAGGGCTGACTCCTGATTTCTAGGACTGAAGATCCACTGGCTCCCAATGGCTCAGGTGTCACCTGAATCACCACTGGCTCCCAATGGCTCAGGTGTCACCTGAATCACCACTGGCTCCTGATAGCTCAGGTGTCACCTGGATCATGGCCCTGTCCAGGAAGTTGAGACTCAGGGTAGCCAGGACGCTCCTGAGAGGCTAACCCTGGAGAACTACTGGGAGCCCAGGCAGAGAAGACAGACACAAAAGACCACGGCCCATGATTTGTGTATATGACGTTCTAGCTGAGGCCAGACTCATCGAGTGTGATGCAAAGCAGTGAGGGGCCATCTGGGACAGACAAAAGCAGAAGATGAACGAGAGAGAGAGCCACCAAGCACCTGAAGGGCAATGAAAACGTTCTGGATCTTGAGGGAACTGTGTACCTGAAATGAATGCATTTTGCTATACCTCAATCACATCTCAACAGTTATTTTATAAATTCAGGGGCAGGTTGGAGAGCTCTTGGGAACAGAGAATTCCCATTTCTACGGTGCACTGGGGAGATGCACTGGGGAGATGGCAGGACAAGCAGAGGGTACCATTAAATTCATACAACAGAGGAGCAAACTCAGACTCCGTGGGGACAGGGTTTGTCCAGTGTTTCTGGGCTAGGACACAGCAGAGCAGCGATTTACTTCTGTTGGTTCTGACTCCAAAGCTCCCTGGAGCTGAGCAGGGGTGACTTTTTGCTGGTGTTTGAATCAGCACAGACACGGTAACTGATAGGAGCTTCACCAAGCAACAGATGTCACGCCTGGTTTCTATAGGAGCAATGTGGTGTATGTGTGTGCATGCATGTGTATGTGCGCACATGTATGTGTACATACATGCATGAATGTACACGTGTGCACATGTGTGTATATGCATGAGCGTGCACTGTTACATATGTTATATATGATATGTAAATCTACAGGTCATTACTGGGTTGGGTCAGACCATCAACATTCAAGTCAAGTAAGAATTCTGTGAGGTAAATGAATACCTTCCACAAACCCAGTTTTCCTGGTGGGTGTTGTAGATCTCCTTCAATTAAGGCAAAGTACTGGCTGCAGAGCAGAGACTGATTCAGCCACAAACAGGACTTGCGTCATAGACACAGAACCTCTAAGGGGTATAACCCTGTCACTCTACGTTTTTGAAAACAGATATTTTCACAACCAACCTTCATAGTCATCCAAAAGTTCAGCTCATTCATTTGACCATAAACAACTGTCAATACAAGGAACCAAGTAGTCTGGATCTTCTTTAAAATAGCAGACACAGCCATGCGTGGTGGCTCATGCCCGTAATCCCAGCACTTAGGGAGGCCGAGGCAGGCAGATCACTTGAGCTCAGGAGTTCAAGACCAGCCTGGGCAGCATGGCGGAACTCCATCTCTACAAAAAAAAAAAAAAAAAAAAAAAAAAAAAAAAAAGCACAAATTCACCAGGCATGATGGCATGCACCTTTAGTCCCAGCTGCTCAGGAGGCTGAGGTGGGAGGATGGCTTGAGCCCTGGAGGTGGTGGTTGCTGTGAGCTGAGATCATGCCACTGCACTACAGCCTGGGCAACAGAGTGAGACTAGCTCTCCAATAAAAGAAAACCCCAAACCCTACAGATATAATGCATAAACTAGAGGGCCGACAAGCAATTCTTATTCATTACTGAAGACCAGGCATGGTGGCTCAAACCTGTAATCCTAGCACTTTGGGAGGCCGAGGCGGGAGGATCACTTGAGGTCAAGAGTTCAAGACCAGCCTGGCCAACATGGTGAAACGCTGTTTCTACAAAAAGTACAAAAATTATCTGGGTGTGGTGTTGGGCGCTTGTAATCTCAGCTAATCAGGAGGCTGAAGAAGGAATATTGCCTGAACCCGGGAGGTAGAAGCTGTGGTGAGCTGAGATAGACCCTACCATTACACTCCAGCCTGGCCAATAGAGCAAGACTCCATCTTAAATAGATAAATAAAATTAAAAAGTAAAGTTATTGGAAATACACAAAAGCTGAAATAGCAAAATAAGCCTTCATGCTTATTACCCACGTTTATAATTCCTCAATGTTTTGCCACACTTGTTTAATTCATTCTCATTTTTTTCTTTCTCTTTTCTGATACATTTTAAAGCAAATCACAGAAACCATGATTTCTCTCATCATGATTTCATGTCTCGGTGTTGACTTCTAGAAAAGTGGGCTTTTTAATATAAACACAATGCTTTTTTTATACCTAACAAAATTAACAATAATCCTTTGGTAAGATCTAATGTAAAATTTATATTTAATGAATTAATAAACTCTGTCACCTGGGCTGGAGTGTGGTGACACAATCTCGGCTCGCTGCAACCTCCACCTCCTGGCCTCAAGCCATCCTCCCATCTCAGCCTCCCGAGTAGCTGGGACTACAGGTGTGGGCCACCACCGAGGTTCAAACAAAGTTGACATCTTAATTGTGGTCCTTCCATTTCTTTTAACTAGACTATTTGTCCCTTCTGTTTTCATGCCACTAATGTCCTGAAGAAGTCAGGTGGGTTACCCTATAGAAGCCCCAACTTTCAGGGGTATCTGCTTGCTCAGGGCTTCATTAGATTTGGGGTGGGCCTGTGGACTGAGTGCTTTCCATTGAGCAGGTGTAGGTCCTGATGGTGCCTGAACTGTCATCTAAATATTGAATTCATTAGAAAACTTCTGAGCCTCGCCCCCCTGCTCATAGGAAAGCATCACACAACCTGGAGTTTAGGTCTTGGTGACTCCTCTGAGCTCACTGCCTGCTCACCCCATGCTTGCCTTCCACTGTGGGAAGGGGAGTAAGGTCTTCTCCTGGAACTTTCCAATGTGACCTCTTGTCCAGGCTAAGCCACATCCCCCAGGATGTTTCTGGGTAGGGTGGCCTGCAGGAGAGTCTCCTGTGAGGTCCAGGGGAGGAGAAAGGGGTAACAGCCAGCCTGAGGCACCCACGCATTGTCACAAGCTCAGCTGGACAGCATGTCCCCTCCATCTTCTCCCAGTCCCCTCCAGCGCCCACAACTCCAGGTGTGAGTCCACTCCAGGCTGAGAGGCTCCAGCTTCTGCAGGAGCACGGGACTCCCGGGCTTCCCAGACACCGCAGGTCCCGCTCCAGCTCCTGGGTTCCAAGTCGTTCTTGATCTTCTCCGCCTTCCCTCCTGCTTCCTGTCTCCATGGCTGTGCTGTGAACTTCAGGCTCCGGGATAAGATGTGAGGCAGCAGCCTTATAAAAACATCATACCAGGGTTTGACACGAAAGAGATGAAACCACTCGACCCCCACTATAAATGAGCGCATCGATATTCTCATGTAGATACACATTTTACATCCTCTCTGACTAAGCCCAGGCTGAAGCATCCTCACCAAGGGACCCTCCAGCCACTCTTCATACCCTGAAGCTTTCTTTCTATAACTTTTAGCAAATACCACCAGGGGGTGTGGCAGACAGGACCCACTGCCTCAAAAGATTCTGTCCCATCTCCTTCCTATAGCTTGACTTCCTGAGCAGGTGGGGTGAAAGGTGAGGGCTGCAGCTTACAAACTCCTCCTCAGCCTGGGAGAACACTGGCCTCGCTGCCCACTTCCTCCTGGAGGGGCCAGTGTGGGCCTTGCCTGGTCCAGTGTTAGCATCACATGTGACCCACAGGCTGAAACTGACCAAGTGACAGGCGAATTCAACGCTCGCTGGTTTCCTTCGGGTTTGTCGTTTGCCCTTTCAGCTCGGTTCTGTGTCTACCGGATGTTTCTCTCAAGCCTGCACATTTCTTGTCCCTGCTTCTCGTCTTACATCTGGGGAGTTCAGGCCACCCTATAGCCGGTATGAAAAATGCTTTGCCAAAAACATGAGCCTGTTGAGGAGAGATTCAGCAGGCCATGAGGGAATGAAGATCAGCTGAGCACAGAGGCGTGCGGGCAGCTGCGCAAGTGAAGAAGGGGACGTGCACTCCCTGCAGAGAGCAGCCATGCCCACGCACAGAGAATGACAGCAACACAGGTCCCGAGGACGATGAGCACCGCCCAGCCCAGGCAGAGGAAGGGCGGAGGGGAGCAATCAGAGCCCAGGGGCACCACCTGGGGCATTTAGGATTCAGGCAGGTCAGGGGGGTTCTCAGATGAGGAGAGGAAACACTGGTGCAGATAGGAAGGCCGTGGGAAGGGGGAGCCTGGAGGCATAAACCATTCGTGTGACTGTTACAGTGATGGAGAGGGGACAGGGCTCTGGATCACATCTTGCACCCCAAATGTGCACCCCAATACACATCTTACACCCCAATGTGCACCCCTGATACCTTACATCCCAATGTGCACCTTTAATACAGCCCTTCCACACAAATGTGCACCCCTAATCTATACCTTACACCCCAATGTGCATCCCAATACAAACCTTGTACCCCAAATGTTTACCCCAATCCACACCTTACACCCCAATGTGCACCCCAATACCTTACATCCCAATGTATACCTCTAATCCAGCCCTTACACCCAGATGTGTACCCCTAATCCACCCCTTACACCCGAA